CCTTAACAATACCATCTTGATGAAATCGAACGTTATATCTCTGAGAAGCCGGCCAATAAAGAAATCAATGTGCTATGATGCATAAAATCTAGTCATCAAACGTTTGTATTCTATAAAATGGATAAACTTCTTTACTACGTAAGAAGTAAATACAAAATTTAATCCGTGAATATGTCCAGAAAAGGCCTATTCTATCATATTCACGGATTAAATTTTGTATTGACTTCTTAGTAAAGAAGTTTATCCATTTTATAAAATACAATGTTTGATGACTTTAGATTTTATGCACCATAACGTGGTGGAAGGTAAGCGATAATATATTGCCTATTAAAAAGAATAGAATGGGATTGAGTAACCTAATATTTAGGCACACCAGACGCAGTTTCTTCACATACAATCTCAGTATGAACGAGAGAAGTGAAGCCACCTTGCGGAAATTGCCGGAATTGCTTGCCTTATTGAAGAATGACTGCCATGGGTTTCGAGTGAAGACTTGTTGGACGCAGAAGATCTCGAGTACTTCGTTGAAACGTTTAGTAACGCCAGTGTTCGTCTTGTGTTTGTAGACCATTCTGTATTCCTCGTTTGGATGTTGGACGGTTGTGGCTTCATGTTTCAATGGAACAAGGCATGAAGTACATGGGAACTAATCTGGCGGAAGGTCTCATGAACTACCTCTTCCGTCCCGATAATATACGCCACATCATGGAGATCACTGGCGAGCTGGTATCCGTGAAGGAACTTAAACGTCATACAAAGAAAAGGTTGGCGAGGAATAGGGCTAACCCACAGGAAGTGTTGGTGTGGGAAGAACGTAAGAGCGAACGTAAGAGGTCGAATAAGAATAGATAGTCATGCCTCATTAAATCATCATATCTATAAAAAGTATGTAACTATAACCACTGCCGTGAAATCTTTGATTTACTCCCATAAAGAAACTTTTCATATCATGTGCAATTCCTGAAGGGCCTCATCCTTATGTATTAATAACAAAAGCCCTCTTATAGGCGAAAACTTCATTAATTAACCGCTCAGGGAACACAATTAATGCAATAATAATAATAATCGCGAGTTGCATGGGAGGAAAAACTGATGCACCAGTTAGCAGTCGGACTCTAAAGCTCTAGTTTTGCTGAGTAAAACAATGATGCCTGTTCACATAATCTCTGGCCTCGCTACTAGCTATCTCTTCTTCATTTTCACTAACTACCTCATTTTCCCACTCTCCCAACCTAATTAATTCTACTGTTTCATCCTTAGGATTTTTAGTCAAACGTTTATGAAAGTTCCTAGCCAAATGCTTTACCCTCCCCCAACTCGCGAATTTCCTCTGAGATTCCATCCCGCCTTCTCGTATTTTATGTTCGAAGCCAGAGAATGTAACATCTCTCGGCTTAACTATTCTTTTTCTGTTTTTCTGGATATGAACAGGGATACATTGATGACTCGGTGCGCCTTTCCGTTCGTTGTTTTCTTTTAATAGGCAATCAAACTCTTCCCAGAGGGTTAGAGTGTCTCTTGTGGTGTTTTACTAGTCCTCATCCCTCGAGAACCGGTATTACTACCACGAGTGACTCCATCGCGAACCTCCCGAGTATCATACCCGAGGAATCTCACAGTTTCGGAAAGATCGGTGATATTTTTTTTTGCTGTCTTTTAAGTGCAGTGGTATTTGTGGCCAATTTTGCATTAAATCGTTTTTCGTTGTTTCGAGAATTATATAGACACACTGTATATTAGTAGCGTTTGGAATGACATAAAGATAGCGAGAAGTAAAAAATCAGAAGTTGGCACAGCCAGGGAAATGCTGTTGTCTCAACAACGTATTGCGGAACAATGATCTTTGATCTAAGACTGATATTCGAGTTGTGTGTGAATATGTGTCAGATTATGTATCAGAATTTGTACGCGATTTCGCGATTGTGGGTTGTGCGTGCCACGGAGTGTTGTTACTTTGCAGAGCTAAGTGAGACGGATATTACTGCTATTTGTGCGGTATTTCGCTTGATTTGACCACGAAATAGGCAGTAAGATATCTGGCCTGTGTTTATAGTTTGCCGACACGTATTGGAATAAATGTGAATGCGCGTGCTTCATAATTGATAGTCTTTGTGGCAAAAATTAAAAACCTCCACAGCACGCGAAAATTAATCTGCCAGAAGTAGATATACTTTATGACACGCAAAAATATATTACATCCGAAAAAGAAAACAACACGCCAATTGCGAAATCAATATGTCATCTGCCCTATAGGCGGTAGTGGTGCTCATTTTTTTCGAAGATGCAGAGTATCAGTTTTCCGAAATATGGAAAAAGCTAGCTTCAAAGAACTTTTTCTCACATTACATAATCGAAAATAGATATGTAATGAATTATACGCATCTCTCCTTGACCTCGGCCTCGAATGTATCCACAGAATGCATTCCATGGGTACCATCTCGGCACTATGTGCCTCAACCTTGAATGTACCCACAAAATGCATTCCATTAGTGCACTCGAATGTATCCATATAATGCATTTCACCGGTACATAAGCTAAGTCGTTTTTAGTATATATATCGATATATATACAGTCCCCAGCATAAGTGACTGATCCCGGATAAATTATGTGTAATGCTCTGACAAAGAACATCACAAACGCTGATAATTGATACCTTTTTATAGATTGATAGAGATTCTATATCAGTTCATAAACTTTTGCATCCCAAATATAATCAGTTCATAACACACATCTCAATATCCAATAATCTAATTCTTGACATCCAGTGATCCGATTTGAACAAAAATATTACTAT